TGTCATAAAACGTTATTATGAAATTTTAAATCTTATATTTAAGTACCTACCTAATACAGTAATACCTAAACTTTTATTTATATTACCTACGCAATTAAGTTTAAGGATTTTAAGATCTTATAAGCCTAACGTAATATTTAATACGAATGAAAAGGGACAAAGGGTATTGTTTTATATAAATTATTACCATTCAAAGTATTAATTCACTTAAAACATTTTTTGGAATCGTTGTATTTTTGTGATACTTTTAAGTTTTATTTAAAAGGGGTATTATTGTCTTAACTCCTAAGTCCAAAAGTTTTTTTTTTTGCTGTGGCAATCCAATTCATTTTTTCTAAGGTATTAAACATTAAAACTTTCTCCGAGACTTGGCAAAACTATACTAAAATAGTAAAATCCGTTGGGTATTTTTCGAGATATGCGCGAACCTACATGATATTATACAAAAAAATGGGCTTCTATATTAATAATATAATATTTATATTATATTTATATTTTATATATATGTATATAAATAGATATTAATATATTATTATGTACCTGTACGTATACACAATACTCTATAGAGTATAGGCTATAGTTAGTATAGGTACGTATACAATATATTATTAAACCACATCATCGTAATTTAGATAATGATGGTTAACAGGTGTAATTTTTCAAAAATGTTAATAGTATCGCGTCATAAATATAAAATATTACAATATTAATTATATATTTTATATTGCAGATTTTGCAGGCTATATACGATGAAATTTAAAACGATGACCGCACAAATGTTGGCAAAGGAAATGTTAACAAATCCTGTCGCGTGTGGGTGTAGCTGGTAGAACGGTTAGCGTATTTTCCATAGATAATATTATCTATTATTCTATTATCTATGCATGACAACAGTAGGCTATAGACGTATAAACTAATGAGTTGATGACAATATGACATCTAGCGTTTTATATTATTGTCCGTGTTATACGGGAGAGTAATGAAGTCGATTCCTATGAAGCTCTATAGTTGTCTTGCCAAACACTTCTAAGGTTCGGAGTTTCGGACTTCTATACTATCTATATTCTACGGTTCGGACTTCACTTATCACACGTTCGTTCGGTACATTATCATTATCTTCATTCGTGACTGTATAGGACGAAAACACGGTTCATTACTCTCAATCACGATTTTTGCATATTGTATCAATTTATTTGTTTATTTATTAGTTTCTGTGATTTTAATATTTTATTGCCTTTGCCTAAAGAGCTAATTTATGACTAATTGTAATTTCAAATTTCTAATACACTAATCTCTCTTAAACTGTTCAGTAACACTTCCGACAACCGACTTGTTATTAATGGGTACTAATTTTTTTTTAATCATAAACACTTGTATTGTAGATTATTCGTGTAGGTGTTTTAACATTTGATTTTATTTGTATTAACACTATCGTTGAAGTTGTTTGTATAATTTATGTAAGTTTTTCCGGTTTTACTTGTAAAATATTCAATGATAGTATGTACAAGGAATCATATGACACATATGAATGAAATATTGTATTTCAATATAGTATCTCTGTCCAGTAAATTGTTGAATTAAACTGGTGTATTTTAAGGGTATAACAATATAGTGTTTTAAATTTTAATAGCTTTATTATTAGGGCCCAGATTTCAATGCAAAATCCATTATTTTTTGATAAGTGTTTAGGGCATTTGAATCCAGGCCTTAACTATCAATTTATTATTAATTTAGTTTTTCAGCCTGATATTATAATGTATTTTTATTTTACAAATTGATAACTAACAAAGTAGTAAATGATAAAATTTAAATATTTCATGTAGGTATATTAAATAAATTTGTTATAAGACAATCTGTTTTTAAGAAATAAGTAGGAGAAATAAATAAATGAAAATTCAATCATTAATTAGATTTTTTTTTACTTTAATAAATATATGGAATAAAGAAAATATTAAAAAAGTTACTAAATTTCAATAAGTTAGCAAGTGGTATTTGATTTTAATTTTTCTTAACTGTACTTAACTGTTTTATGTGGATTTTGAAACAATACTTATTATTTTTTAGTTCACAGTTCTATTTACTTTACACACCTATCTTAATTATCTATACGAAAACTAATATATATTTCATGATTTATACTTAACATTTGTTTAGCTTACACGCCTGGATGGAATGATCCACCCTCATATTCATTTGAAGACACAGTGAGTGCTCAACATGAAAACCGGCCTAAAATATTTGATAGAATACCTGCACGAGTCTTTCAAAATGCTCCTAACGTACAGTCAAATAACAATCAAATACCCTTAGACAATGATCCAGTTTCCAATGAAAATTGTGATGATACTTCAAAAATCCCTGCAGTTTCATCATTGGTATTATGCGATATTCCTGTGGAAGAACGCTTATCGTATGTGATGACATCTCTGAATGATTCAATCCAAAAATCAACATTACCAGATGTAAGTGATCAAATATAATAACTATTAACTTAGTTTATCTCTTTATCTCTAATACAATCTTAATTAATTTTATTTAGTCCAAGAAAGTAGATATTAGTAAACGATTGTCAAGACTGGAAATCAATTGGAAAGATAGTCAATTTACAGACATAGTTCAACAAAAAACTATCGCATTAGTTAAAGGTTAAAATATAATATATATCCATGTAAACATTAATAACAGTCAGAAATTGTATTTCATTTTTACAGCAATCAAAATCAACGATTATGCTGAAGCTAATAGACTACAAATGGCATTAATGGTTGACCACACACGTCAGTGCAACACTTGGATACCGGCTATTCGACAACTAATTAATCAGCATACCTAAATTTATCATAGACATATTAACTAAGTTAATATATATCTATGAAATTTATATTCAATAATTATATATTCACAATATGTATGTATTAAATAAATTAAGATAATTTTAAAATTTGGTATACAATAATTTAGTTTATGTGCTATGTGTTCATGTGTAAAATATTATATCATAATCCTCTAATTCTATCTTTTGTTTATACCAGCAGTGTAACTTGACCATGATGCACAACATATATTTCAGTACCTTAATATAATTTAATAGATATAACCATTAGTCGACAACCTTTGAGTACTCTGGTATCTCATTTATAACTTAAAAAGTTTTGCGGGACGTGTCTGACAAAAATTAAAATACTTTAGTCTTATTTAAAAAAATAATGGCAGTATAGTTGCCGTCTACTGGTTATAAAATTATAATGACTATAGGTATAACTTTTGTGTTATATTATTGATGATCATAAATTTTAAATTTTGATTTTTGACAAAATTTATCAAATTTTAAATTTAATAATTATTTTGTGGCTAAAAATATATGAAACATTCAACTTTTATAATTTATTGATCATCAAATATACTCAGTACCTATAATAACAAAGGCTGTATGACCGCCGTCGCTCAGAATCGTTTTTCTTATATAATGATAATATTATTATATCGTTGAATTCAAATTTAACACCATCCATTACAGTGACCTGCTTGTAACCTACTGTACAGCAGAGCGACACCCACTTACCCACCTTTATTTCATTTATTTAACTCTATTTTATTTTTATATTTTGGCCAGATATTTAAGGGAGACGTCCAATAAATAGTTTGTTAATTAACTAATTAGTATTATTAAAGTTCTTATACCGATTTATTCTATTTGTTTTTTAATACCTAGGTAAATTATTTATGGAAAAATTGAGCATTTTGAAGTTTTTTTACCATAACTTCCTAATGAAGTTTTTACTACTTTTTTTAAAAGTACCATCAAATTAAGAATGCAAAAACACACGTTTTGATAAAAAATTCCAAAAATCGCTTGAGAGCTAAACCATAGAATAGATTTCTACATTCGTTCAAATTATTTGAATATTATGGTAGAAGTGGTACCTAACCTACTGGATGTCTGGCTACTTGGGGCACATTGGGCACAAAATTAATTTAGGGTGTTAAAACGATAAGATAATATTTGATATGAATAGTTAATCTACACAATGTTTTTATATTTCCTAAGTCTAGGGATCCAAACTATCACCAAACTATCTTTAGAAGTTTAAGATGTATTAATTATATATTAATTTATACAAAGTAGGACTAACAGCAGTGGCGGTTGTTTAATTTCATTTTTCATTCATCACCAATAATTAAAGTTAGTTACCTATCCACCTACTTAATAATTAATTTATATAATACATTACATTTGAAAAAATGTTTTTTTAAATTTATATTTTAAGCTAAAAAAAGTGGGTAAGTTGATGTCGCTTTGCTGTACAGTAGGTTACAAGTGGATCGTTGTATAATGAATATGAATTGTTATTAGAAGTGATGTCCTGTCTAAATTCTAATAAATTGGTACTAAAAAGGGAGATGAAACATTTAAATTTTAGATAATTTTTTTCGATCTCAAGTAGATTTGACATTTTGACGACAAATTAAAATCTGTTTTCAGAATTCTTATCGCTTCACTTGATCAATCGGTACGTTGGAATGAAAACACATCTAAATTCCTATATTCCACGTATGTTAGACAAAGACGGAAAATCACCGCTTCCAATCCCCATTCCCCTTTTAATCGTGATAGGAACTAGGAAGACATTATACAATCAGCTGTGTGAAACGGTGAATCTTGAGGCTGTTTGTAGTCTTGCTGCGGTCACGTCGTATTTACAAGAGCGGAACGTCGACGGATGATAATAAAGAGTATAAACTGTGAGACTGATAACGTGATAAAAACAATAATAAGTACCTAATAACAAATAACAATTAACAGTGCAGTTGTCAATTGTCTTGTCAGACACTCATGCTCAGTGTTATACAGGCGTTACACATTTTGTTTAAATATTCGGATTTCGCTTTTGGATTGTTGTAGATTTGTGTACGATTCAATAATTTCAATTATTGTGTGAAATATTTAAAAATAACAACTGTCAAATCCATGTCCAGAAATATGTCTTCGACTGTTCGGGATGCGTGCTGGTACAAGTGATCCAGGCCGTGAACTCGAAGACATGACGTCCAACGATTCCGGCGTGGAGAGCAGCACGGACAACGACGATTGTGCCCAGCCAAAGTTCAACAAAAGGCTTGTATCGTCTGCTGAGATGTCCCTAGTTCCGGTGCGGAGGATGAAGAACCAAGATTTTCCATTATCCCTGTGCCTCAACTCTTTATCCGAACCTCCGATTGTGTTCGCGCGACCCATGCTCAACGAGATTCCTGGACGTACGTTTAAGTGCCTGTTCGAGTTGGCCAACCCAACATTTCCGGGCACGCTGGATAGGTTCCAATCTGTGAGTAATGCCTCTCCTCTTCTCACAATGTCATCAATACGTTGGTGATTAGTAATTGTTGGTTTGTTTTTTGTTTCTCGTCCAGTGTCTGACTCCCATTCAAGAGTACACGGAAATGTTGATGAAAATGGAGAAGAAAGATGGTTCTACTCAGACTAGAAACAATATTGGCCCGTGCCGTGTCCACTCATGTCGTGGTTACGTGAGGTCAAATGCTTTTCAGTCCAGAGGTAGTGAACAGTGCGATGTTGGTGTTAAGTACAAATAATTTACATTTTGAGCTTTTCAATGGTTGCAGATAGTCACAAACTATGTCGAGCGGCAAATATGAATAACACTGAACTACTGGAGCAATTTCTCAAGAATGGTGTTGATCCAAATTGTTGGGACAGTAGGAAACGTACACCCTTACATTTGGCCGCAAGCAAAGGATATGCAGAGGCTGTGGGGTAAGTTTATGTATTATTTTTATTAGTATCAGTACTAAAAATTAAGTGTTGTTTGCTTAAAATTCATACTGAATACTCGATATTTAGATTGTTATTGAAGTACGGTGCCAATCCGAATATAAAAGATGCTTTGGGAAACAATCCATTGCATTTGGCTGCTTGTACACATCACATGGATGTAGTAACATTACTCTTAAAAGGAGGTAAGAAAATGGGTGTTTGTAAATTGTCACCTGAAGAATAAAAGACTTTTGCCATCTGGTGGTGGGAAATTTTTTGTAGAAACACTTGAAGGGATTCCAAACAGACTGCTTTCTCTGCTAAAAAGACCAATTTTGATTCCAACATGCTGATATAATTACACAATATGGATTTTTAAAACGAGTTTGGATCCCTTGTTGTTTTATTTAGGTCCAACCAATTTGGGGGCATCAGATTATCAACATTTGACTTTGAAATTGTTTTATACATTTCTGTATATTCAAGTATTCAACAACTAGGTATGCTTATAAGATAAATAAATAGAAAAAGTTGTTTGTAGGATCTAAATTCTAAAATTTACTTATTACAATATTCAAATAAGTTTTCAATACCTATCAAAATTCATAAAATGTTTAACTTTAATACATATGGCTTAACAATTCAGTATAAGATCATAACTATCTACTCTAAGTTCATGAGCCCAGGGCCCCATCAGAATTTATCTTTTTTACTTGTGATCCTAAGGGCGCCTGCATAGCCGAAGACAGCTCTGTGTAAGATTCACTATAAGTTGGATCTAACCGGAGTCTGGAATTAAAAATAAAAGTTGAAGTCACATGCTCATCATAATATACTATATGTGGGGATTATTCACTATCCCTAAAACCAACGGTTGGCAAATGGTCAATTATTGACCACGATGTATATTTAAATATCATTGAGGATGATCTAATTTTTTTTCTTTATATTTTGCGTTGTCAGGAACAGATGTAAGTAGCTGTGATGCCCAAGGCCGAAGTCCTCTACACTTGGCCCAATCAAAGTTACGTCTATTAACTCATTGCAAAAGTAACGTTTGCACATCGGTCAAGCAGACAGTATTACAGGTAATTGAAATGCTGCTAGCGTATTTTGACAAAAAAAACAGCTCAGATGAAGCAGAACTGTTGAACGCCTTTCAAACTAGATTACAAATATCAGATACAGGTGAAAGGGTTAGCACTGAAATTCAAGACCTTTTAAATAATTTATCAACATTAAAACTAAATAAATAAGCCTGAAATCATTAAAAATATTTTTTTTAGTTGGATACAATTTTATATTTATATTATAGTTTATTACTGTCTTATGGAATTATTAATTTTTTCAATTGGATTTGTGAAATATATGCTGATTAGTTATTATTTTAATTTTAACTCTAATAATATTACTGAGGTATACATTGATTGTAGATATTACTATATTAGTAATTATAATTGATGGATATTCATTTTTTGGGAGAATAATTTTTGAAACAATGAAATAAGAATCCACTGAAAGTGTGAAAAACCCTTTGTTATAACCTGTCTAGTTCATCTTTCCACCCGGAAACTGTTGCAATTTAAAAAAACAAAGCAGTTGTTGAAATCTATATTATATTGAAAAAAATACCATAATTCCACGGACTAAGATAGAGATCATGATATTTTTATAATATAATATACACCAAGCTAAGTGCCACTAATGGGTGGCTTCTTATTCAAGAAATCCATGTTTTGTAACCTTTATCTAATATGCTTATTATGCTTAATTGTAAAGATTGTGTATGTGCAAAAAATATAACATAGTTTTTGGATTGCTGTTTTTTTTTAAAAATTGTAACAGTTTTGAGTACCAGGATGAACTGGATAGGTTATATTCATGTTATTTATTATTGGTGATAAAGTCCAAGAAAAATATTTAATTTTGATTTATTAAAATAGTTTTTTTGCTATACTTCAAGACTAAATAAGTAATAACACTTTAAAATCATCATTATAATATTATTTAAAACAACAACAAATATGATATGCTCATAATTTTATATTTTAACATTTTTAGTTTTAGTTATTAAGGGGATACTGCCCCGCTGTGTAGTCTCTGTCTTACAAAAGTACAACATAACAAATATATGTTCTTAGTGACTTTAAATAACAGAGTGAATAAGTAGTAAAATGCTCATTATTCAAAATATTGTAGAAAACCAACTTACAAACAGTTAATATTCTTTCCTTTAAGTTTAAAAATAGATCTCTATTATATTCACTTTTATATTTAAGCTAACAACACTAAATAGGGGTTTTTTCCTGAATGAAAATTTGTTTTGTTAGACGTAGACAACACATAAGGGTACGGCGTTTTGTTAAGAAACCAACAGACTTAATAAGTAATAATTTTTTTGAAATAGCCTTAAGCCTTAAAAATAATTTTTATGAGTTAATTCCAAATCATGTTATAACTTAAGTTGTAATAAGTTTTTATCCGTGATGGTTTTACTTTCACTTTCTATTGGCAAGTTGGTTTCATTTTAACATGTTGACTGCGTACTGACAAGAAATTGGTGTCATAACTAATAAGTATCATTCAGCATACATTTAAAATTCTTTCCGCGTGGCTGAATGTTATTTTATTATTATTTAGCGTGGATTATAAGCATGTTTTTAAATATGTATACATACCTATGTTGTTATGAGCAGTTTCTTTCTTTTTTTTTTAAATTTGTTTTGTTTTTACTTTAATCATACGCACTGGGTGAAAACTGCAAAAAGACATTCACAGTCTACGTGTTAACTTAAATTGAGTATAGGACTGAACACTGGGTTAGGTGATTAATCATTAGAAATAATTTTGATGACATTTAAAATTGCTATCGCTTAGTCAATTTTGATTTTAAAGCTTTAGTTTTTGTCAACATAATTTTAAAAAAAAAACCAAACCTATCTAAGTATAAAAAAATTCTAGTTTTACTGAGCATGTGTGTAAAGATTAAAGAGGGTTAAAAATTTGTAATGCTCCTACAAGTAAGTATGCTTATCAAAAAATGCCTGACCTAAACAAACTTAATTTGGCCTAAAAATTGAGTGTTCCCTAAATCAGTAAGCACATTTCATATATTTTAACAACGACTGCATTTCATTCAATACACATTTGTTTCATACAAAATAAGTTATTTATTTAAAAAGCAATTGATATTAAAGTAGTTATAACCTTTACCATATAATTATTTTGTACCTGGCATACAGAGGCCTTAAACATTTTATAGATTAAAACTCATTAAGTCTAATATTCGCAAACTATGTTTACGGTTATGCGAATATATTTGGTGTGATAGAATTTTTAATTATGTAGCTACTAGCTATACTCATGGTGAATAAACTGATGTAGTATTTTAATTAACTGCTGCGGGTCAAATATTTTTACTAGACATTTTATAAGCTTTTATCTAATAAATATATACAGAGTGATTCTTTTATTGTAACACCGGGCAATATCATAGGAAATATAAGGAATAAAAATGTTTCTTTGTTATTTTAAGAATACATACTGATAATCTTAGAAAAATGTAAAATAATATATCATCTAATATTTTTAACTTTTTGTGGATTTACAACTATCATTTGTATTGTTTGTATTGTTAATTAATTATGGTGGTGATTTTTTTTTATATTTAAATTTGTATGTTATTTGATTATTAATTTATTTTAAAATTTAAAATTGTTTTAACGTGTAAATATTTGAATTTGTAGAAACATTAAGAATAAAGATTAAAAAAAAAATATTTTTCTACTACATGTTTATTTGTATAATAAAAGCTAAGTTTGTGTAAGGTATTCAACTTGACGGGTGATGTTGCACTACAAATTTGTAAATAAATAACTGAGTGACAAGATGTTGTGAAAGAATGTTATATTCACTCAAAAAAATTATTAAGGTTTGAAATTAACATTTATAGAATATGGACAGTGGTGGAATTTAATAAATATATAATATTAGTGATAAACCTGTTTATTAGAAGTAAAATGAATATACTAACTTAACATAATATTATCTATTTTGTAGTAAAACTATAATATGTTAAGTGCACACAATTTATACCAAAATATGGGTTTATAAAAGTTATAAATGTCATCTTAATCTATTAAGAAGTTGGAAGTAATATGTCTACACCATGGTCTATACTGAAAAGTTCTTAGATATGGAAATTACTTTTATTAATTAAATTAGTCTTCAACCTCAATACCAAATTGTATGTAACAATGTTTGTAAAGAACAACAGCAAAATAAATTCATGGTAACTTTATTATTATTAATTAATGTTATTTAAACTTAATTAATACAAAAAGTATAATCACAATGATAGACATATAAAATTGACTTTTAATTGTAGAGTAAAAATGAATAATTCTACCATTCTTGATTAGGTACAATCAAGGACGGACGAGAAGGCCCTCATGTTAACATGTATCTGTGAGAAACAATTTCTTAGTATTCTATACTGTGTTTGTTCATAACATACTATATAATATTTTTACATAAATATTAGTTTTTACATTATAAAAATAATGATATTAATTGATGTGCTGACATGTTTGTACTGTAAAATATTCAGTCCAAAGCCTCCTAAAACACTGGGTACAATGAAGATTGAGCAAAAGAAACACACAAATTTATTCATTTACCAATACCGCAATATGTGTTTATGACTATATGTTAATTATGATTTTTTGTTTGACCTTAATAATTATAATTCAATATTTAACAACCTATTGGCTTAATAAACAAAATATGGTCCCATAACACGAGGATATTATAAAGAGAAAAAACATAATATTATATTATGGTAACGTCGCTGGTGGCGATTGAACGAATAATTAAAATTAAATATTGATAGATATAAAATAATAATAATGATAATAAATTAAATATAAATACATCTCTCAAGTAATTAAAGAGGTGAAACAACAACGCAGTATATACATAATATAATACGAGCGAGGTAACAATATTGATAAACTTTCTTTTGATTTAAAAATAAAAACAAATAATAAATTATATAAACTACATTAGTATAAATAATGTATTTATCACTCTTGTGTGGTGCTTAATAGCACCTGCCCGAGATGAAACATCAGGAGAACTTTTGCCGTGCGTACACATTGGTGATGCCGGGCATGATTTCCGCTTGTACTGGACTGTGCTTCAGCAGTTCACCGTCAACAACCAGGTGGCTGCCTTGTGATAAAGGTTCGAGCCGGAACGCTCGCACGGGGATCATTTCAACATTGGGTACAGCCAAGTGGTTTCCGGACGACAGGCCCAACAAAAACTATGATCCATAAAAAAATAAATACATGTTATCAATGATTGATTCATTTAAACAAAATGTAATTAATGATTTTTTAATAGGTACATTTCATTTACAGTACATAGTTAGGTTTAATATGATACATTCATTGCAAGGTCTACATACTATTTCCCAGTGGCGTGGCGAACTAAAAATTTTCCAGAGGCCAGTTACAAATAACCCGAGTATTTATGCATAATAATGCATTAATGTAATACAAGAAGTTATATTTCAGATCGTTATTGACTACCTATTGAGAATATCATATTCAATTTACTAGGGGACCCACTGGCTACCACCCACCCCTCTATTTAAGAAAAATTTCAGAGGCCAAGGCCTCTGAAATTACCGTTCGCCACGCCACTGCTATTTCCTAATAATATTATAAAGTGCAAAAGCACGTCAATTTTTTTTCACCGGCATTTTTATGAAAACTTATAACTTTAGTACGATTGTCAAGTAGATCAAAGATAGATAATAGTTTGGATCATACAAATGTATTCACTCCTAACCATCACATTCTAATTAGAAATAAATTATTTTAAATAATTATTATATCTGAGCTGACCATTTTGTATTGAAGAAATTCTTTACATTTACAATACATTTTCAAAATACTATAGGTACCACCAGATACTTATTATATAAATATCTGGTTAAAGCTATGGCTCATCGTGGGTGGACAGGCCATTTTAATAAGTGTTCCCTTGCTTCACATGGAAAAATCTCTAAAGCTATTATAGCTTCGCTTGCAAATGTATGACTAATTAAATGTAATATTTGCTGTATAAGTTTATAATCAAATAAATTTAAAAAAATTATTAATTTTTTTTTAGATTCTTAAACAATACCCAACATAGTCAATTTTTAGTTCCAAATATATTTATTATTTCTTGAGAACAAATATGGTTCGGATTTTAGAATGTGATTTTGACACTCACTAACAATAAACTCTTAATACGTTTTGACATATTTTAACATTTAACTCATAGAAAGTATGTTCACATTCAACACAAGTAATAGATAATGTATACATTTATAATTAAAGTGAAAGCCACATTAGCTTTTCTTTCCTTTTTTTTCACATACATTTGGTTTTGGGCTAGGTACAGATATTTTTATTTTCTGACCGATTTTGAGTAAAACTTTGTTTATTACCATAGAAACAAATTAAGAGCCCGATATTTAAAAAAACATGTAAATACGGAAGGGACCCACCAGGAGAATCACAGTCTCCTGATAGGCTTAAACATTTTAACACCAACATCACAGAATAAATTTAATCTATTCTGTGGCTAGTGGTATATAACACTAATACTATGTGATTGTGCGATACCGTAATATGCTTGGATCATATTATACTGTGTTACTGTAGATGATCTAAGATAATATGAGAATATATTATATTAGATTAACAGTATCATACAATTGTATATTGCTTTAATTTTGTAGAAGAAAAAACGCAGAATGCAGATCTGTAGGTACTAAATTCAATTGTAACTATCTACATGTTATTATCTCCATAAAATAACACGTCTGAATATAAAATTTGTTTTTTGAAAATTGATAGCTCTTTCTGTATTAATTAAACACATGTGTATCCACCTACCCCTGTTACATTAGAAACCATGTAAACGATATACTATTTTCTATGGGCAAGGAGGTGAGAGAGAATTGGTTGGGCCGATAATCCTCTTTAGTTTTCACCATATTAAAGCACCGTAGAGACTATAATTAATCACTGATCGTTTATACTTGGCCCGAACCGTACACAATAGGTAAACCGCCACTAAATTCAATATAATGGGAGCACCATATGTCAAGGCATGATGTTGGTACTATTATTAATAATCTATTAAGTGCCTACAACATCTAGGATGGGAGCGGAATTTGCCCTACAGCGGTTTTTGAGCGACATTTATTCAATAATTCTAAAAGCTATAGATAAAATACAAATAATTTATATATTATTATCTCTGTTGAATTTTGTAATTTATAAATAGTTGTAGTAATAGGATGATTAAATATATTTTACAATTATTTTTTTTTTTATAGATAATTTCAATTTTATAAATTTTTTCCTTAAACTCTTACTATATAAACTTTAAATGGTCATGAATAAAAATAGTATTCATTCAATATCCAATATATTTTATAGGTTAACACTCATATGAAAATATTCTGCAAAAATAAAAAATTAGATATTTTAAGTGTCATGCTTCACAATCATCACAAAATAAAAAACCATAGTTTTTTGAAAAACATGACAATTTACAAAGGTGACGAGTGTTTGACATAAAAAGAATCGCCTTATATTAATGTACTCGTATGCGTGTAGCGTGTGTAAAGTTCTTTTTTTTACGATGTACCTTTGCAGTGTAAATACAGAATTTACGTACAGCCACTAAACACGGATTGTTATTATATTTGCAAATATATAATAAATAATAATTCACTTACTTGTAGAAAAGTCGTCCTGGATATGCCATTTTTGATAACCAACAACCAAATCACACCGTCGTTCAATTTCGATTTGGGCGCTATTATTACGTCTTCGCTTATGTGAGATAGATACGAAGCATGTATCATCACAAACTCGTCTACGAAATAAACAAAGGTAAGCCGTAGTGTTCGTAATTTCGTATACTATTCGATAAAAACCATCTTGTTTAAGCAAACCAAGGTAATATAGATTACTTTCTTTCTGACTTGGTTTTATTTTAATCTGATTTTTTTCTTTATTTAAAAGTTTTATTTGTACGAAGACATAAAAGTTAGGACATAAATGAGATCACTACAGTAAACCCATTTGATATAATATTTTTTATAAGGATATACAGAAATAATAATTAGTAAAAATCAGATTTGAAAATAAGAAACGAGATATGGAAAAATTCAAGTAGGTACATGCATACGATATACACAGCGAAAACGCTGAGAACTAAATCGTTCAACTATATTAATAACAGCTGTTACCTTCAACAACTACCCAGTCCGACGGAACCGGATCAGAAAGCGGAGGTAGTTTTGATATAGGTCCGCGCACCCAAACTTCGGACCCCTCGATCACGTCTGGTATAGACGAGAAGCTCGGAGCTTCGTTGACAGACATGAACGCCGTGCGCTTGGATATTATCGACGAAAAACTCTCGACCCGCTCACGTGCAGCAAATTCCTCCAACTATGCAAAAATAATAGAAAATATAATTTATCTAAAACCAGAAACGGTACAGAGGAGATTATAATCACTTTATATTATAATTACCGGGTCCATTCCAAATTCGATCGACACCGGTTCGTCGTCGGTGACCTCTTGGAAATCACCTGACGTGCATCTCGCGTAATTGTTCATTCTCGTCTCAGTTTCCAGATCGTTGATTTTGGAATACGACAACCGGGCGGGATAACTTCTTAGACCTATATATATACGAACACAACACAACGTTTACGTACAGCGACCACCGACGAAGGCGCTTACACAGCGCGTACGATCGGCGGGCCTTACCAATAAGTCTGGCAATACTCCATATAGTAAACCTGGGGCTACCTAACATCCTAATTCTCTCGCTCTCTATATCAATGTCAGCAATAAAACCCCAACCGATCGACAAAAAAGAGTATACGACTTGTGTAAGAGTCTCGACTCTAACCAGATCCATTGGACACCTGTTACCGCCGACGATGTTTAGCGCCGATATGAGTATGGGATCCGGATTGTAGGGTTCGCTATAAACGTTTAACTAGTTGCATTCAATTTTGCTGCAGTTTTAGTAAAATAAAATTCGAGCTCACTTGGTCTCGAAACTTATCGACTTGGCCATCCCGTTGCCGGAACCACCGGGTATGACGGACAGGGTCAGGTACTCGAAGGCCCTCTGCCAGTCTGACCGTTCCATGAGACCGTTAATCACTTCGAACATGAGTCCATCACCGCCAAGTACTACTACACCACGGCCCCATTTATAGATGTTACTCGTTCTCATCAGGTTCCTGATAACAGACGAAATCATCACAGGCGCGATGCATATACACCGATTATTGAAATATAATAATGTATCCACCACATAATATGGAAGTTAAATTATCGTGACATCCCTACTGTGTCGTAGGTACTCGACAAATTTCAAAACTATTTACTTTGATATTCGTAGTGTAGTGAGTGTCTAGCACTAACGATCTAAGTACAAAACCGGCCATTGACACAACAAAAGATATGAAATGTGCAGAGATTCTAAAATTATCAATTTATTAGAAAGCTGTTTTTATGGTGGCAAACATTTGAATATTTGATACTTGTAAACTGAAATGGGCCCAGATATTTTAAATTATATGTAAACATAGTTAAATTAGGTCGAAATTGTTTTTATATTATTATGAGTCGTGATTTATTTAACATTCATTGATTAGAGGACACGATCACGATGAAGGAATCCTATTAACTTCTCTGATTTTAGTATTTCATTAAAGAATTGATAAAGCTTCAAAGTTAGGTAATGTAAAAAAAAAACATCCTACATTCCTAATGTTTAAGATTCTGAGCGGAACGAAGAATGTTTTGATTTTACAATGTTGTTTGTTGTGTATTTATTTGTATTTGTCTAAAGACACTTTAAAGTAGAAAAATGCTTCAATTTTGAACTTAGGTTGTGGTTTCTGGTACGTTTTAGTTGGTACTTTTAAAAGGTCAACATTAAAACCTAAGCTAGGCAACCTTCAAAAAAAAAATTTAAGGAAAATCGGGAATTTTTACTCAAAATTGATGTTGTTATATAGGTGCTGCGGGTAATGCGCAGGGTGATAGGACATCGCCAATAATCGTTATCCGCCATTGTGTGCATTTTTAATTCGAAATTGCTAAGAGAAAATATGGTAGCTAGGTTCGCAAGGACAGACAAAAAACGTGTTTATTCCGTATATCGGTGAATGAACGTGTTTATACGGTATTCCGGTATAGCTCGTATAGCACAATACATTTTTATAAACCGATAATACAGAGATTTATTACGTAAAAACGTCAAACAACCTACGTTATACTTTATAGTATATATCATTAAATGCGCGTTGAGTAACCTACATAATATTATAAGACAACGGTGGTCGAAGGAGGACACACATATATATAATTGCTAAATTGCAGGTAATAAAATCGGAATTCTCAGCAGGGATATCTTATCTTACATTCTTACAAGTACATAACATTTTACGTTTTAAACTTTGAACGCCTCGTAATAATACTAATAGTTGCCTACAATAAAATTAAAAATTTGATCTCAAATATCGAGGGAAAGTATATTATTTAATATAATATATAATTTTCCGACATCCAAAAAACCACACCATTCAAAATTATTGACGACTTAAAAAACTCCGACAGAAAGCAAACAGTCTGTTGTAGCGAGTACCTAGAAATAAATTTGGAATTCGAGTACACATAAGAAATGAATAATGATGCAGCATACTCATGAAAATATCGTAATACCATTGATTATAAATGCTAGTATTTATAATCTCATTGTTGTATACAATAAATTACGGCATGAAACAATAAAGAATCTTATAAGTTATAAGTTATAACTTATAAGTAAGAGTAGGTATAAAAAAATGATCGAAATGATATGTAAAATATTTTTATATTTTATAATAATTATTTTTATATAGGTATCTCACAGAATGTATTACTGTAGGCTGTACTCTGTAGTAGTATTATATTACTATATATTATTATGTTTGTTTTCTATGCATATTTTTACTGTTTTAGTATGCATCAATTTCCAAGCACCAGTTATTATTGAAAATAATATATAAAATGAGAATCAGACAATAGGATAGTATTTATTATCATTAAGATTAAGAAATTTCCATTGTTTATAAGTAGGTAGGTACCAATATTATGTTAAATTTCCTATCATAAGACTTCCAGAATTTTTTCACAGACCGAAAGTAATCAAAAAATAAAATAATAGAGTAATAATAATACAAAACCAATTACATGCTCTAATAAGAATCTAAAATATCATCCTATATTAATTTATGTATATAATTATATAATTATAAATCATAATAATCAGAAAAGCGGTTCAACTAATATAAATGTTAAAGTAATACCCATTACACATAAATACCTACATAAATATTTAGTTTGATAATTTAAACATTTGGTGATAATTTCAAGTGTCTACAGTTAATCGTTTTTGAGTTACACCAAAATTAAAATAGATTTTGTGTACAATTATCCAGTTTTTCTTAATTTTTTTTTGTCTTGTTTTTACATTTTTAAATTATTTAAAAAATACTTTTAGATTCTGAGTGGAACGATGAATGTATTGATTTTACAATGATGTGTGTTTTATTTTTTATTTTTGTGTCTGTGTACACGATAAGTAGTCGAAATAATGCTTCGATTTTCAACTTCAGTATTTGTTCGATTGGAAAGTGAATCTAGTTGGTACATTCGGGAGGTCAAATTTAAAATTCCCAATAGTTTTCACAAGCGCCGGGATTAAACACGGGAATTTTTACGGAAAATCTGTTTTCCAAAAAATCAATTTTGGTTTTTGGTGTAACTCTAAAACAAATGAACATATACATGAAATTTTCACCGGTTGTTTATATTTGCATTTTCTATAGACGATAAAATTTTTAAAATATTATGATTTGTTATGAACTGTTTAGGGACATTTTCATTATCCATTTTTTTTAGTTTTTATTCTAAAAATATCAATACAATTTTATTTGTTGGTTTCGAAAGCTTGAAAATTTAATATAAGGCTCCTAGTATATTGTTTCAAAGGCAGATGAAAAATATTAAAAATCCTTAGGCACAATTTTTTTTTATAAGCATTTAAAGTTCAAAAATTGACAAAATATAGAAAAATCACAAAAATTAACAAATTATTTTGAGTTAAGAATTCGTAAAAATTCTTCTTTTTAAATCTAAGGTTTTTAAATGTAATACAAGATTCCTTATAAGATAATCTACCTTTATCAAAAAAAAAAAATGTCTACCGGAAGTTGAAATTAAATTTTTATGAGCTTTTGAAATTCAAATTTTTACAACATTGGATTTCTCATATAGCGATTAACTTATTTTGTTGTAATTCAAAAACGAATATCTGTAGATACATGAAAATTTCACTGAATATTCATATTAGCATTTTCTATACACTGTACAATTTTGAAAGTATTTTGACTCTTTTTGAGCTGTTTACGGACATTTTCAGTTTTCAATTTTTTTAGTTTTTTTTTCTATAAATATCAATAAAGTTTTATCTGTTGGGCCAATAAGTGTAAAAATTTAATACAAGGCTCCTAATATATTGTTACAATAACAATTGAAAAATATTAAAAATACATAGGCACAATTTTTTTTTTATAAGCATTTAAAGATCGAATTTTGACAAAATGTATCAAAATCTCGAAAATGATCAATCATTGTAATTAATAAATTATAAAATATTCAGTTTTTATAGCTAAGGATTGCAATTTTAAAACAAAGGTTCTCATAAATAGTTCATACTGTAACCAAAAAATCTAAAAAATATATGAACACAGTTATTGTTTACAGACATTTTAAATTCAAATTTGGACGAAATTACATATTAATAAACCAAGAATAACTATTTTAGTTATTTTGTTGTGATTATTATATGATATTATTATGTGTACTATTATAATATATCTATGATAGTATCACGGTTTTTGTTGATGTATAATGCGTTATAAGTATCTAATGGATATTGTGATATGATTAATTTGGAATTTATTATAGGTTAGGTTAGGTTAGGTACCTATTATAGGTCAATTTTTTGTTTAATACCATAGATATGTATATAATATGTCTTATACCTAGACTGACATACCGTCTCCGCTCAGAATCGTTTTTTCTTATACAATGATATTATATCGTTGAATTCAAATTTAAAATCATCAATTATACAGTGACCCACTTGTAACCTACTGTACAGCAGAGCGACACCCACTTCCCCACCTTTTTTTAATTTTAAAATCTCTAAAGTACCAATTAGATACAATTTGAGATAAAATATACACACATCATTGTAAAAAATAATTCATTCATCGTTACCTACACTTAGAATCTCAAACACATTTTAAACAAAGATTAAAAAACATAAGAATAAAACTTGTCAACAATTACGTCCTTGGGTTTTTCATTCAAGTGTATAGTGTGTAAATTAGTTCTTTGTAATGATTGGATTTTTTAAATAGGAATTAACAAATTCAAAAAGACTGTATTATTATTTATCACTAATTATCTAACTTAATGGTATTTCAACAAATTTAGTCAGGCAAATAAGTATATTTACAATTATGATAATTTTCACATGTCATTCCAAAATGGGTTTATATAATAAAAATTTAGCATTGCATATAGTATAGGTACCATCAAATAATATACCTATAGTCAAAATGTAAATGTATGTGTGTATGAATCTATGTATGTAATATATACACGCAAACATAATGAGCAAAAACTAAAAACTCTTTTATAGTATTATAGTAAGCATAATTATTATGTAGTAAAATTATAGAAATTAAAAAAATTAGCATTATTAATGATGTAATATCTAACATACAATGTTCTTGACAAATACAATAAGTTGTAAATGTAGAAATCAGTCTATAGAACTATTATTATTTAAACAGAAACATCTAATAAATGTAATTTCATGCAATAAGTAAAGTGAATTTAATTTGGGGCTAATGTGGCGACGATAAAAAATGCAAAACAATGGATGATGTCAAAGGAGGAAATCCTGGATTAATTTTAATTGAATGGAGGACAAATGTACATATAGATGTATATCAAGTTCCTGGTAAACAGTTGTTTAAAAATACTTCAAATCTATTTACCTAGCATCATTTTGCATGCATGTAATATGCAAATCGTAGTCAACATCAGCCATATTTAATATAGGTACTATTTTACGTTGAAATATTTCACGTGATTTTCCAACACCACTTTTTGGGTTCACAATTACTAATAAATGGTTACCTGAAACATAATAAAAATTTATATAATTCATAAAGTTGATCATTATTCATTAATCATTAGTTATTATAAACAATTTAAATTATTCAGCCATCAATATACGATTCAACAATTGTTTACTAAGCACCACAACATTTAACTTCAATGTTGTCCACTTATAAAGATCTTCAAGGGACTTAAAAAATCAGATCGTTATACCGGTATGAAAAAATATACATATTAAGTTCAAATTTGGATATTTGATCAAAGAATAATAATTTTAGTTATTTTATTGTAATTTAAAAACATTATTTGTGGCTTCGTGGGTACCCACTTCAAACTTTTGAAGTATATTAATATTATATTTTGTACACACAGTTACCTTTGAAACAGTAGTTTGAGAAACCCTACTTGTCAAAAAATATGGAATCACCTTTCATTGCCAGATTGTATTTTTCATACATAGATCTACATTTTTTAAGAGAATCTCAACTTGTGCTTCTTTTAAAATAGTTTTTAATAGAGGCAAACATTTTAGGAATCAATAGAAACTCTACTAGTAAGAAAAGTTATTTTAATTTTTCTGAAAATTTGGGTCTTGGGACTAATCGGGTTCCTTAAACAATTGATTCATTTTAAAATGCAATATTTTTGGAAAAATTACTTTAATAAGGTGGCATTATTATTATAATATACTTAGCAATATTGACTGACTTCGTTTTTTGCATACAATAGTTTTAAAGTCAAATTATAATTTTAGAAATTTTTAGATACAAATTAATTTGCAAAGGTCGCTAATATTGACTAATTTTGTCACCATTTTGAACTTTAAACAACTATAAAAAAATATTGTAACTATGTATTTTTGATATTGATATGAACAAACAACTTATGAGGAAACTTATATTAAATATTCAAGCATTTTTTATCAAATATCAACATTTAAAGTAAAAACTAATAATTAACTAAAAAAAATACTAGAACATTTAAAATGTCTATAAAGACATAGATCAAAAAGAAACAAAATATTTTTAAAATTTTACAACGCATAGAAAATTGTAATACTGGAAATTTTCAATTTTTACCTCCAAAAGTACCACCTAGATCCAATTTGCTACCAAAACCCCCCATTTAAAGTTGTATTTAGAAGCATTTTTTTCTATTATAATTTATAAATCATGTATACATATTCTTACTCTATGATACATACTCAACAAAAAAAAACATCTGAATATAAATATATTCATAGCTATGCTCAGCATCTAAAAAAGGAGATATTTTTTAACCCTATGGTCTATTAATTCAAACACTGAAACTCAGAGGATTTTAATCAATATTAATTTACAAATTGACAAGACATAACCTTTAAGCTTTATTAATTAGTTGCCATGCATAATTAACATTGATCAAAAACAAATTGTACTGATTTATATTTATTACTTGGTGTCATTTGTTATGGTACATAATAACACAAATTAAGAATAGTACTGATTTAAAAATGTTTTTGTAACAACCTCTGCTTCAAGACGATTAAATATGCCAATATATATTCTTAATTTATTACTAGAATGAAAATATTTGATTAATAAAACAAATAACAATAACTTTTTATAATAACATGCTAAACTTTCACCAAACTTGTATTAAATTAAATAAGTGTCACTTTAACTCTCTCTTATCTATTAACTTAGTAACTGCATATCAAAATACTTTAACAACTTTTTATAAGACACTTCACTACTTTAGTACTTCTCTATACCATAGAAAATTAACTATAGTTGAGTCTTAAGTAAATAAATTGCAAAACTACACCGTTTAAATAAATAATAATAAATAACTAATTCAATATTTTACTTTCATGAAATAGTTAAATACAAGTATTGACTATTGAGGTATGAATTAGCACTACCTAGTTAAGGGTTATCAAAACAAAAAAAAATTCATGGAAATACAATTCCCGGAATAATAAATTGTGTGAACGTATTTAACACACTTTGCTGGTTACTGACAATAAAATATGGAATTGGTAAAATACAAAAAACAAAAAAGATTATCTGTTATCTACATTTTATTACCTAGATAATACATGTTGCTTTTTAAATACAACTATGATTTGTTGTGCTAACTTAACTTAACTATAGGTAATATCAAATTACTAACATCTGTCTAAAACAATTAACTAAAGACTAAAAAGCTAAACAAAAATAATAATTCAACAAACAACTGCTGTTTCAACATCATCCAAAAGCGACTCTATTTTTTTTTATAATGTACTCAATATCTCGAAATGTGTTAACCTTTATAATATATAAATATAAATCAAAAACATTAATTGTAAAATCTAAATAATAACTTTTATCTAGGTATACCTATTATAGAGAATTGATAAAAAAAAAAATCAATATTGGAAAATTTTATTTCTTTGGAGTAACTAGTAACTAACTACATATTATATTATACTAATGTGTATATTTTATTAAAAACCTAATAATACTAAAAAGGTTTAATAATAATAGGTTCCTACTAAAAAAAAGTTGATGCAAATGTACACCCTTCACCTTCTAAATGTCGCTCCTGTAATTGAATTTAATTTAGATGTTTATCAACATATATCAATAAAGGTACCTATAATACCAAGTTATTATTAGGTCCTTCTTATGGTGACCTATATAATTTTGTAAAATTGAATTGTCATACTTACAAATAATGGTATATAGAATATAAGTGATTAATATTGTCAATCAAAGTTTTTATTACTGGTTATCTTTGGGGCAGATGGCAGTAATTATAAAACATTGTCTATCTCTGATGACTGATACATTATACCAGTGACAGAAATACTAAGCAAAGGAATACAAAAGGATTGTCTAAATTTATCCTTCAGACGCTCATAAAAATTATTGTGCATTTACGCTCACCTTTTTAATTTTCTCCATTAACAACAACTTATAATAGAAAGTTGTATTAAAATTTCATGTATTTTGGCAGATCTTTTATCGACAATGGTTAAATTAAAGTAATCAAAATCAAAATGTTCTTTTGCCTATAAATAGCTTAAAAAGAGTTGACATTTTTCAAAAATTAAATGATGATTAGAAAATGGTAATATATACATCTGGTAAATATTTAAATGATCTACAGTTGTTAGTTCGATTTTGACAAAAAACCTTTTTAGATAAGTTTTTTTTCCTGACTGAAACCATTTTGACCTATCTGAAGCGCCAACTAAATTAATTTTCCCACCAAAAAAGATCTTGAAATTGATAATCCAAGCATAATTTTGACTAGGTATTTATTGTGTACATACATACACAAATAAAAACAAATCAGGGTAAATCAATACATTAATGCTCTAATCAGAACAAAAATTAAGGAAAAACTGCAATTTTTACACATTTAATTCAAGGCTCCTTGTATGATGTTAGTAGTGTAATTTAAAAAAAAAATTACCGTAATATCACAATAGTTTTTTGAGTTAATAACTTAAAAATCCTCAACTTTAAATACTTAACAATTTTACCAAATGCCTATTTATATTAGCTTTTTCATGGTATAATTTTTAAAAATATTTTGAATCTATTTGAACAAATTTATAGACATTTTTTAATTTTCATTTTTTTTTAGTTTTTTTTTTATAAATATTGATCAAAAAATATTTGTTAAGTCAAAAAGTTGAAAATATAATACAATGTTCCACATAAGTTGTTAAAATAACAGTTCAAAAATATTGAAGTTCAAATTTTAACAAAATTCATCAAAATCACAAAAAAGTGTAAATTATTTTGTACCTACTGTAAAATGAATATTTTATAAAAATTTACATTTAGGGGGTGTGGTGGAAAACCCGCCTACAAGTCTGCTTGAAACTTTTAGGGGGTATGTGGTGTCATATCTTTTTACCTAGTCTGCCCAATTTTTTTTAAACTATTTCGGAGCCACTTTTAAAATATATAATATGCACCAATTCAGTAGTGTACTCAGGGAGGAGGTTAGGTGTTCACCCCCCCCCCCTGGCCTAAAAATAACTTTATCATTGAATTTGTTATTATATGTATAAAATATGAGTAACTACTTTTAGGCAGCTACATAAGTTTAACGTATTAATACCTCAGAATAGATTAAATGAATACCTGGCTTTTTGATGAGAAAAGTGGCACCTAACATTGTTTAAATCTAGTAATATCTAACACATGTAATGTTAAAATATTAAATCTATACAAAACTGCACCATACAAAAAGTATGCGTGTTTTTTAAATACCCATACAACAAAACATAATGTAAGATTCAATAAAATGTATTTTCCTAGATCACAGATTACTAAATTAAAATTACTTTACCCAACAAGATCCAACATGACTCCATAAATAATAAATAATTTTTTTTATGGAATTATTTGATGCAGTTGTTGATGGAGTATCGATTATTTCTACATGGCCAGAGAGAGATCCGTCATCAGGAGCTTTTCAACTCGTGTATGCTATTATGCAACCTTAATTTATTTTAACAACATATCTGATGGAAAAAGTATTTAGCATAAGTTTACTTCTCAGTAAACTTATTCAATTTCCAAGTATTGATTTAGTTGAAGGCATGTCACTGGCAGATAATGTAGGTATCTAATATATTGAAAAATATCAGAAATAATGCAGATGAAGAATTTAAAAAAAGTGGATAAGTAGGTACCGCTCTGCTGTACAGTAGTTATCACTTATCAAATATGTCGTTGTAATGGATGTTATATATTTTAATTCAATGACAAACCATTCGACAAACGATTCTGAGCAGAGACGTTGTGTCAGCCTATATGTCTTGTACTTTTGTATAAATAATCAAATTGAATAGTTGAAAATAAAAATAAAAAATATCTCATGGCTATAAATAGCGTGACTTTTCGGTGAACTTTTTCTTTTAGATAGAGGTAGAAAAACTTGTTGGGAACCTTCTAATACAATTTCTAATGTTAGCTATGAAAAGAAAAACTGTTATGCATTTTGAACTGAAAAATAATTTATAAAATTTGAAAAAATGATCAAAGGTATAAATAGTTCAAAAAGAGTCAAAATAGTTTAAAAATTGTACCACGTAATGTACCATATTTTAGTTATGAGCTAAAAACAAAGTCATTAAATCCTCTTTCCCCTTGAGTAATCCCTTGCTACGCCACTGCACTTATTATAATCTCTTTATAAGTAGGATCCAAATTTTGATGTTCAAAACATGTCAAAAATATCTAAATGTCTAGCCTATATTATGTTACTAATATGCTTTAAAACAATCCTACAAATATTCTCCCTATGTTTTCTTAAAAATAATCAATAAACATCAAAATATATCTTAAGAGGACGCTACCCATGTATTTGTTGTCTCCACACGTCTTACACACGCACAACATACCAAATTTCCATTCGCTAGTTTAAATAGTGTGTTGTTAGTTTTAATATTAGAGTGAATTGACCTATTATCATAATATTAGGTAAGAATATTATCTGTGCTTAAGCGTTGGCGATTTTGAAATATTTTCATTTTCAAGTAAGATATGTGTACGTGAAATATCAAAAATTTTAAATGCTCATATCTCGTTTGAAAATTAAAATATCGAATAAAAACCAACGCTTAAGCACAGATAATGTTATTGTCTAAATATGTTATAATAGGTCAATTCACTCTAGTATCAAAACTAACTGCATACTATTGAAACTAGTGAACGGCAATTTGGTATGTCGTGAGTATGGAAGAGGGAGACAACAAATGTATGGGTAGCGTCCTATTAATATGAAAATGATACACAAGGAAAAATTAATAATTTTATTAGGTGCCTATAATTTCTCTAAATGATGAAAAACAAATAATAATTAGAAAAATAGAAAATAAATCGATTGCAATTTAAAAAAAAAAAAATGATTACCTAGTTTGACTATAGGTAAAGCATTAAAAAATCAAAATATTGTAGGTACCTCTATACAGGTAAACACAACAGTATGGTAAATAAATATGGAACCCAGATTAGTTTAGAAAAATAATCTACCTATAAAATAGCATATTTTTATGATAATAACTTCATCGACTTAATTTACATATTTTGGGATTCTTAGATTTCTAAGTACCTATGTAGGTACTAGGTACCCATTATTACTCAATTTGTAAAAAAATGTTTTTTTTTTCAATAGTGCTTACCTAGGTAATGGTCATCTGATGGTGCAACAATAGTCCCGTCCTCGCATCTGGCCTGCAGCAATGATTTTATGGCCAATTTCCACTTGGCTGCTACCCGACTGTTCTCGTCGTAATTGCTGAAGTTTCGGAACCTCAGTGTGATGGTCATCTTGTCACGCTTCTCATTCTTAGCACCAACATTCTTCAGCACAAATGCGTACACACTTAGGTACGCACTGCAGTCACCAGCCTCCACAAATGGCACTCGCACCCGACACTCGTTGGTTTCTGCTGTGGCCTCTCTGGCGGCATCAACTGTGCCCCCTTTAGCCGGACGACAGGCGCAGTGGCCAGACTTGCCACTATTTCGCATGCACTTACAGCCAATTATATCACGAATGTGTATCAGGTCAGTCTTCTCAGTGCCATCCTCACCATTCTTGGTCAGGTGCAGACCTTCGTTCGTCAGGGACACCTTGTACGTGTACTGCTTTCTGGAGAGTGCGTAAAATGTTTCTTCGAGTATAGGAGGGGCGGCGAGTCCGTTTCCGTCCATGGTGGCTCGTAGGGTTCGCTGGACATATATTATGTAATATAGATAATGTAATATTTGAATGTTAATTATTTAATAAATAAAAAACTATCAGTACGGCACGGCTAGGAGGATTAGCTTAAGTGAAAGCGCTCGGCTAGACGCTATTCGCAAATGAGGCCCGCCAAAATGTAACTGTACACTATAAAACCTATAATTCTGTCGTTTTCATTATTACCTATTTATTGATAATAATTATGATTGTCAATTGTCATGCTAACGCGTAACGAAGTACGAACTGTGAGTTTACTGTTTAGAGTTGGAACCGTCCAACCAACAACTGTAACCACGGCGGCACGGTCTACGAGTTACGACCTTCGAACTGTCAAAGTACGAATGAACGATTGTATTCACTAATCAGTAGTCAGTACTGTACAGTCGTGTACGAACTACGAAGTGCGAACGTTACGAAACTACAAAAGTAGTAGAGTATTGTTCGTTGAAAATTGAAATCGAACTTATCGCCGTCGCTAGCAGCGTCGCCCGTCGGTCAACAGCGTTATCAATTATCATGCCACCACGGTTCAACCACGATTGTCGTAGTATAGGTAATTTGATAAGGTTCAAGACAATAATATTTGTCAATGTATCCACGCTGTGGATACGTATTGCCTTCGATATGATAAAATATGTTCCAAAATGCATCGTATTTTCAAGCTATAGAGTTCTGAAATTCAGCGCATCGAATGCGTTGATGTATAGGAAATCGTAGTTTCAATCATAATAAAAACCCGATTGCCTGATCCTAATGGATCTATGATATTTTATACCAGACAGTAAATAAAAACGGTTTATATCACTAGAAAAAAAACGGTTTATATCACTTTCATGGATGAAAATATCATATCAGTTTGGCTTGGAATAAACAACAATTAACATTATCGCAGGCCGCTGAATTTAAAAATATTTAAATTTTTAACATCATATTATTATAATATACCTATACAAATACAATTTCACAACTGACCATTGCCGTACCTGTGTTTGTTATCCCCGTACTTAAGTTTGATCCAGTTTATGAACTCCCATCAACATCTAAAACATTGTCAGGGAAAAAACTTGATTACGAAAATCAATTTAAAGGTATTAACAAATTCCATAGTTTATTATCTTTATAAAACGTAAAAAAAAAAATGTACAAAATTTATTTTATAGATTTTTGTATAAATGATTTAATTTTACATGTCAATTCAAGATGGTTTTAATTGTATTTTAGTAGGTACAGTAAAACTTCCTTAAAACGGACACCCCATAAGACGGAAATCTCCCTAAAGGAAAATAACAACGTCCTTGAATAACTTATCGCGTATATTTTAGTTCCCTATAACGAAAAATTTGTCAGCCCAAGTGATTCCTTTATAGAGAGGTTTTATTGTACCTACCTACCTACTTTGAATGTATAAATGTATATTATATATAGGTACATTCAAAGTTTTAAAAAATACAAATATATCAGAAATTTTTAATTACATTTTAATGTATTTATTTTTTCCAGACTTTCAAAAATTAGCAGTCCTGTAAAGAATACTTTTAAAAAGTACTTGAGTAAATACTCAAATACATTTTTTTTTTAGTATTTAAGATACTACTCAAATACTTTAATTGTATAGTATTTCAAATACTTTTGGTTTTTAAAGTGGGTTTCTAATTATCGTAATACAAACAGTAGTAGGTTATTTAATAGTTATAGTTTAAAGGGAATATTGTTATTCAATAACTATTTTTAGAAATCTGGTTTTCACAAACCATCGGGCTACGGCTAACACAGAAATACAAAATATTATATAAAACTATTATTCTATTATTGTAGTTAACAATAATATTTTTCCAACCAATTATTTCGAATAAAAATAAAATGTTCGAAATAAAAAACCAAAGTATTCAATACCAAAAAGTATTTAATACAAAAAAAAGTATTTAAAATACTATTCAAAATACTTCATGCTGAAAGTATTTAAAAAGTTATTCAATACCTACTTAAAAAAGTATTTGAATACTTTTACTCAAATACTTTTACTTAAATACTTTACAGGACTGAAAATTGGTTAGCAGACAACATCTTGTTCTCAAACATGAAGTAAAAAATATACAAGATCGTCTTGATATTATTATGTGCAAGAAAAAATTAATAAAAGATTACAAGGATGTGTATCTGCCGATATTACCGAAGAATCATTTGATAACACTATAACTCGTGTGGATACTGCGACTGATTTAAATGATCTTGAGGACAAATTATTAAACGATACAACATATAAAAAAAAATTGGTATTAATAGCAAATTACATTACTTTCAAATTATATAAGATTATAATTACTGAATTTTATTTTGTATGTAGATTAAAGAACTAGCTCGTTACAGAGGACAGAATTTGTCTGAAACTATAAGAAAAATTATGCAAACATTATTCACTGATAATTTTCTAACTAACTACTCCTACATAGGATTCAAAGGAAAAGAAAATTTTTCTACACTCCAAACTTGCTCCGTGATATTTGGTAAATATTTTTAATGCAATTTTAATCAATTTAATACTCCATACATAATATCTATCTACATAGTTATTATTAGTAATTTATAAAAGTTAACCAATTTTTTATTTATACAATTTTGGTACCTAATGAACTTTTCCGCTCATGTCTTAATAGATATACAGACTTTTCACTCACTTGCCTTTCTCACTATTTTTATTGTAGCTCACTATTTAAGCAAATTACTTAATACTCATTATTATCACTTTTTAGATTTTTTCAGTGCAACGATTAAAATCATTGAAATTTATATAAAACTTCATAACACAAGTTTTAAGTAGAAAAAAAAAGGCTCGAATCTTTGATTTTGATGGAGGTTTTTATTAACAAATTAGAAGTTTTTACTTTGGGGAATCAATAGTAAAAATTTCCAATTACTTATTAAAATGATTAGCAAACCGATTCATATTAAATGTCATAACTTATAAACATCATATAAATACTATTATTGTAAAAATAACTTAAAAATTATATTTTGTCAAATTTTAAAATTTTTAGTTGTCAATTAGGTACACAATTATTAATAATACATATATTTTTTATAAAACTTTTGCTATTTATAAATATTAATTAAGCTTTGAGGGTATTGACAACTGAATTCAAATTATTTGCAAAGTTGAGATAAAATTAATATTTAGTATAATATAGAAGGTAAATATATGTACATATAGGTTGTTTAAACAATAATAAATTGTTTTTATACCTTATTATTTCTTAACTAACAATATTTAATATTTATAATTATTAACTATAATTAAAAGTATATTTAAATTTAAAACAATTACCAAAATGATCACATTTCAAAAATTAAAGTTTTATTATTTAACATTAATTAAAATTATTATGTATCAATTCCAATCATATAAATGTTTCTTCAAGATTAGTACCTATCACTCATATTATCAGCTGCATATAATATATTATTATAAAGATTTTAGTAGTTGTGGTTAAATTTAACAAAAATACGAAATATGTTTAGTAAATATATAATATATGTTATGTAAAGTATATAATATGTTTAAAAGTAGAAAAAATGTATTCAATATACATTAATATATAGGTACCTAGTATTTAAACGTCTCAAATACTTATTGATAGATAGTATAGGTATTTAAGCCTGTAAATGGATTAATAAATATAGATAATGGTCAATGAAAAATAATAAATGATTTGTTTTTGTTTGTTTAGAAACTATTCGCCAAATGAAACCATTTTCTTCACAAAATCTCCCTAACATTGAAATAGAAAAACTATTAAAAAATTGGTTGGCACAAGCTTCTAATAGAATCAAAAAATTATTAGCTTGAAATCCTCAACAAGACTCACAATAAAATTTATCCATGGTTTATTTAACTAAGTATTATTTTATGTTATTATTACTAAATGATTATTATTATCAATATATAATATGTCGTGTAAATTATGTTATTATTCTATTATATTCTTCAGTATTATATAATAAAATATTATATTATGTTTAAGTAAGGAACATCAGTATAATTTTATTTTACTTTATATAATTTATATTATTATATATTATTTATAATTATTTTAAAATATCAATGAAAAACAGTATTATAATTGTTTTTTTATTTTTGTACACAAAAGTAGCTGTGTTTTCTGTTTTATTATATTACTTTATGTATAATATTATGATCTTTTGATAATATAACTTTTGTCTATCTGTGTTTATTTATTAATAAAAAGAAATGTTTTCAGTTACTGCATTACATATACATAATATAGGCATTATTAAATATAACATTTTTATATTTTAATTAATTATTAATCTATTATATGACCAGCTATAATATAATTTTAAATATGATTTATTTTGTTTCTGAATATATTTACTAGGAATATGTATTATGTAAAACATTTTTTTTCTAAGATTGATAGTAATTTTTGTCTTTTTGATTGACTCTCATTTTAACAATTGTGAATTAATAAATATTAACATATTGTTAAACATGTCACTGAATTAAATGGTTAAACAAGTATACCAAATATTCGGTTTAATATAAATATACAAAATTGTTAATAATGTTCTCAAAAATGTTTTGAAAATATAGCACTGAACATTGCAACTATATGTTACTTAAAATATATTCACAATGATAACAGTGAAACATTGTTACAAACCATTATCAAAATATGTTGACAAAATTAAAACCCCATATTGTTAAAAAATGGTCTTTAACGTCTTTTGAAAACATAAAGCTAATTATATTATAACAAAATGTTGTTTAAGATATGTTGACAATGTTTAGCAGAAATATTGCTACAAAATATTTAAAAATGTGTTGACAACCTAAGAGTAAAATGTTGTGAACATATTGTGTTTTTCTCTGCCAAATCATGATTTGACTATATGTTTACAATGTATACACTTTCTGAACATGATATCTGCATTTTGTAACAATGTTTTGTGG